ATTCCTTTTAATAAACATAAATAATAAATGTTTCGTCCTCCCACAAATATTCAAATGTGCCTTTCCTTAGTTTCCTTCCCTTCATCTTAAAAAACACTGATTTATAGAATACACATGCCTTTCCATCCAAAAATGCCGAGAAGCCTCTTCTCCCAGAAGGCATCTTTTGCCCAAAGCCAGCATCACACTTGGGAAGAAAAGGCTGAGAAGGGACCTGGGCCTCTAGGGAAGGAGTGTAGGGCTTACACTTCGGACTGGTGAGAAAACTGGCATCCCTTAATTGTATCACTCTTTCACTGCCATCTCTAAGTGTCTCAAGGTCTCATTTTCTCACCACTTCTTGTCTTAACATGACGTTGTTAAGACGATATGAAGCTTTGGGTTTCTGCAGCATTACCCTACCTCTGCCACTAATGCTTAAAATGTTCTTCTTCTAGAAGGCCTTCACAAATAATCCTCTTCATGCTACTCTTCCCTTCCTCTGAACGTCAACTTTATTTACTATGTTATATACATTAAACACTCTAGAATTTCACATTATTTTGTCGTATCTTTTTATTTTGTCACATGTTGATCATTGCAGAAATTCTTAGAGACATAAATTTTTTTCCCCACAGCAATGGCTGCAAACCCTTGGTAATCAATAAAGCTAACAGTAGAGCATTTGAAAAATTCAGATTTGAGGGACCCTATACTCAGACCTGCACGAATTGGATCATTTATCTAGTTTCTATGGAATCCATATTTTCAAAAAGCCCCCAAATGATTCTGATCATCAGCCAGATGTGGGTATCATTGCTTTAGATAATTTACCTGGGGCTCAATAGTAGAGTAATCTCAAAACATCTTTTGACTTAAAAATTATTTACTTTTAACCATTAAAAATTCATGACCAAAGCTTGTGATTCTGGATGTTATTGATTCATCTCATCTAGGTTTCAGATTCTAGTATTTGATTTTGTGAGTACCATATAATACAGCCAAGCACCGCATAACAACATTTTGGTCAATGACGGACTGCATATACGACGGTGGTCCTATAAGATTAGCACCATATAGCCTAGGTGTGTGGTAGGCTACACCATCTGGGTTTGTGTAAGTAGTGTAGGGGAGGAAGAAATTTTCCTCTATCCTTCTAGGTTCTTCTGGCTTGTCTAAGAATTAAATTGACATGAGACAGACTAACAGGAGAAAAATGAACAAAAGTTTAATAACATGTATACATGGGAGAAACACAGGAAAACTGAGTAAATCACCAAAATGGCCAAAGCCTTCATCTTAAATACCATCCTCAGCTAAAAACAAGAGGAGATTTTGGGAGTGGGGAGAGTCATGGACTCAAAGGGAAGGAAAGCAATTCACAGGTAGGTGAAAGGGAGCAAATGTTTGGAAAACAAGTGTTTGGCAACATAGAAACAGAAGAACACAGAAGGGAGCCCAACAAACAGGCTTTTTTAGGCTCCTCCCTGTCTACTACCTAGTTCATGCTATGCTAAGGAGATCGCTCACTTCCTGAGACAGGTTTTTTTTTTTTATCTGAATTCTTTTAGGCAGTTAAGGGAGAGGTAACAAGACAAACTTCCTGAGTCTATTGTTTCTTAAAAGTAATCAACCTAAGATAATCCTTATGTTAAAGAGACACACTTTTGGATGGCAAATTTTGTTCCCCTTCAGTACATTCTATGATGTTCACACAATGAAATCGCCTAATGACGCATTTCTAAGAACATATCCCCATTGTTAAGTGATGCATGAATTTTAGAAATTTATTTCTAAAATTTTAGAATTCAAAATATCTGAAATTTCAGCACATGTACATACATATTTTATGTGGAAACAGCCTATCAAACATATAGTTGTGGATTCTCACTTTTCTTGTGATGTAACATCACGTTAGACACTTTCTAAATGTCATCATTCTTCAAAACAGTGAAAATAATAGTCTTTTGGGATGATTAACTTAATCATTTCTCCACTTTTGGAATTTTTGGATATTTATCATTTCCCTGTAATTGTAAATATCATAATTGATACCTATGAAATAAACATTTCATTGAATATTAATATGATTTATTATATTTTTTCTTTTTAGAAAATATTCTCTTTACAAAATATGCATTTCATTCTTTTTTTAAACTTTGTAATCTTGGACACAATTTTTGTGCTGATTTCTCCAATTAGCTTGTTTTTTCATTTTCAGACTCTTAAGGCAGTCCTCCATCAACCACTCCACTGTAAGGGGCCATGAAGTTACTCAATCTTGTTAGCACATTCTCTTGGCTCCTATATTTGGGCCTGATCTCCCTCTCACCCAGTTCTCAGGGGTACTTTCTAACATCAACCACACTGCAGGGAGAATTGTAAATGGTACAGATCAATGTTTTTTAAAGTGCAGCCTACAGGTCACTTGTAATAGAATAATCTAGGTGCTTGTTAAAAGTGAACAATCATGGACACTTCCAATTACTCAGACATCTAGGTGTGGGGTCTAAGAGAACGAAAATTAAACAAAGACTCAAGGTAATTTTTATGCACATTGCTGTTTGAAAAACCAGTCTTCCATACACCATGATAGCAATGAATTAGGAACCTAGATTTAAGGTACATCCAATGCCAACACACCTCTTACCATTCTACTTCTCTATAAAAATCTGTATACGTATACGTATTTAATGTGACTACTAATACAACACAATTCCTTTTCCTCTCTCTCTCAACTCCCCTCCACTACAATGCATGTTTTTTAGAAAGTTGAGAACATGTCTATTTTATCTGGGTCAGCCTCTGAATTCTCTTCTTGACCAGGCCCTGACCTTGGGTTCTCTCTGGCCTGCCTAATTTAGTGTTAACAAGGAATCCTGCTGAGTCAATTTATCAAAAATTCTCTTCCCTTGACATCTGATCACACTCCCCATCCCCACCCTCCATATCTTATCACCTGGTCTGCCTTCGGCAAGAATCCTGTTGAGTCAGTCTAGCAAGGATCCCCTAGTCTCTCAGTAATTTTCCATGCACTGATCCCCACTCAGCTCCTTGGCTGTAAATCTCCACTCATCCTTGTTGTATTTGGAGGTGAGCCCAATCTCTCTTCCCTACTGGAAAACTCCATTTCACTAGTCCCTCTTGAATAAAGTCTTCGTTTCTGCCTTTAACAACTGCCATGAAAATCTTTTCTTTAACACGGACATTATGCTATATTTTGAAGATAGAAAGATAAAAGGAGCAGTCCTTATCCTGAAGAATAACTCTCTAGTATGAAAGTTTATCTTATCAGAAACATTTACAAAATAATACAATCAAATCCAAAGCAGAAACATAGACCAAGCATACAGAAAAATTACTATAACTTGAAAGGATTGTGAAGAATCTCTTCCTATGACTATATCTGCATAGCTGAATTTAACTGAATACAAAAATTAGAAATGCCTAATTTGATGTGGCTTATATATAACACTGTTGTTCATGCTGAAAGCTAGCTTTAAATAACACCAAGCATGGCCTGTTTTAATATCAGAATCTATAAAACATGCATATTTCATTTTTTTGAAACAAACAAAAGTATCTTTGATATACTCTGCATGTTTTCACTTTAATGGTGTATTATTAGAAAAGCCTTTGCCTATTATGACCTCTTCCTATAATAGAGAATAATAGGTATACACAGACATACATACATACACACTTATGTACACACACACACTTATCTCATAAACTTGCCTTACCACAGTGGATGTTGCCAGGGGAAAGCTCAGATTCTTCTTCTTCCTCTTCTTTTTGTTTTGCTGAGGAAGATTTGCCCTGAGCTAACATCCACTGCCAATATTCCTTTCTCTGTATGTGAGTGCCGCCACAGCATGACCACTGACAGACAAGTGGTGTAGGTCCACACTCAGGAACCAAATCTGTGTTGCCGAAGCAGAGTGCACCGAACGCAACTACTAGGCCACCACAGCTGGCCCTCAGATTCTTAATCAATGTCATTACCAAGTAAATACTGAAGAAATTTCTAGTGGCTACGTTCTAGAGTATTTCTAGAGTCTTCTGGGCAGTAACAATCTCTTTTGTAATTAATTTTATTAAAAACCTAAGATTGGGGCTAGCCCAGTGGTGCAGTGGTTAAGTTGGCACGTTCTGCTTTGGCAGCCCGGGGTTCACTGGTTCAGATCCGAGTGTGGACCTACACTCTGCTTGGTAAGCCATGCTGTGGCAGGCGTCCCACATATAAAGTAGAGAAAGATGGGCACAGATGTGAGCTCAGGCCAGTCTTTCTTAGCAAAAAGAGGACGATTGGCAGCAGATGTTAGCTCAGGGCTAACCTTCCTCAAAAAAAAGAAAAAAAAAACCCTAAGATAATGAGAAAACCTGTTGGAATGCTAAAATCCAAAACACTGACAACAGCAAATGCTGGAGAGGCTATGGAGCAACAGGAGCGCTCACTCATTACTGGTGGAAATGCAAAAGTGGTACAGCCACTTCAAAATACAATTTGGCAGTTTCTTATAAAACTAAACATATTCTTACCACATGATCTAGTAATTACATTCCTTGGAATATACCAAAATGAGTTCAGGACTATGTTCCACAACAGTATGCAGAGAACTTTTTTCATAACTATCAAACTTGGAAGCAACCATGATGTCCTTCAATAGGCAAACGAATAAACAAACTGTGGTACATCTGTACAATGGAATATTATTTAGCAATAAAAAGAAATGAGCTGTCCAGGCACAAAAAGATATGGAGGAAGTTTAAAAGCATATTGCTAAGCGAAAGAAGCCAATCTGAAAAGACTATATACTATACAATTTCAATTATATGACACTCTTGAAAATGCAAAACTCTGGAGGCAGTAAAAAGATCAGAGGTTACCAGGGTTTCAGCGAGAGAGCGAAGGGCAAACAAGGAGGAGCACATGGGATTTCCATGGCAGTGAAACTATTCTGCACGACACAGTAAGGATGGAAATATGTCATTATACATTTTTCAAAACTCATAGAATGTACAATACAAAGCGTGAACCTTTATATAATGGACTTTAGTTAATAAAAATGTATCAATATTAGTTCATCAATTACAACAAACACCTGACACTAATACAAGATGTTAATAATGGGGGAAATTGTGTGCATTTGAGGGAGGGAAGTATGTAGGAACTTGTAGCTTGCAATTAATTTTTCAGTAATTCTAAAATTCTCTAAAGAATGTCTGTTGATGAAAAACAAAACAAAAGAAAAACCTAAGACACAGAGGTTATAAATCAAACCAAATCAAAACAAAAGAAAAAAATCCTGGCAAGCTAAAACTGCTTCTAGAATTGTGGCCAAAGGGTATTTTATGCTAGTCTTTCATGGTGATGCTGCTGGGCAGCTCAGCTGTTATCTCGCCTTCTTGGGTGGTCACTGTGGTGGTACCTGAAACAAATTTGGAATAAGGCACAGAGGAAACACTAGAGAGTATTCAGGTCCCATTAGCCTGAAACCTATGATTTTGTAATATGAAGTCTGAGTTTTAGGTAGGCCTCGAATCTGTGAAAATCTCAATCATTTTTTGCATAATTACTAAGATAATAACAAAAACAGGACTTACCTAGACTAGACCAAATATTGAGGTAAGGCCTAAACTATACAATTACCCCAGACCATGGGGACTCCTGGTGACCTTTGTGGCAGATTTTGTCTTATGGAAACTTCCCCAGAGCCCAAGGACAACAAGGAGTCCTGCCAGAACTGAGATGCCTCCGTGAATCCTCTAGCAGAGGGCTTCTTTGTCACTGTGCTAATGGATGGGAAGGAGGAAAACAGTCTAAGTTCAAGTTTCTTGATATAAAATCAGGGACACTGTTCAATCTTGAGGTAAAATCAACTTCACATGAAAATTTAAGACCCAAAGTATCATTTTTTTTTTTCCCTAAGAAAAGCTCCTCTAAACCCAGACTCCAATCACGGAGATGCATAAAAAGCAGGGAACATTTTAGGATTTTCAAAAAGGAAAGCTTCTATTGCTCCCCGCAGAGCTCCCCCAAACAGATGTAGTGAGATTTGATCCTTTCGGCCCCGGAGCTGCTCTGGAGCTGCGCAGCCGTGCCAGGAGTCTCTGGCTGTGCTCAGCCTCTGCTGTGTACTGTGGAAATACCGTGCTTTCCATGTGCGCTGAAGAAGAAAAGGGCGGAGAACCATCTTCAGAGAGTATCTGTGCTTAAGGATATTTTAATCCAAAATGGCCAGATTGGTGCTTTGCGATTCTCATTGTTTCTACCTATCATTCTACTTCAAACATAAGAATATTTGCCAGGGAACTATTTCCAAACATCTTCACATGAAAGATAAAAAGCGTGAACTACCACGAAGCTATAAATAAATATAGAGCACCCTTAATGCTTTTGATAATACTGCCTATTTTTACTTCACAGTTTTGCTAATTTTCAAAGATTGCAAAACCAAAAGCAGGAATCAGCTCTTACCCTGTAACGAAAACTTCTGCCCTCGTCTCAGGGTAAAGCGTCTGCGTCTTCACACAATTCCTCCACTCCAGGACTGAGCAGTTCTTGAAGCGTCTCTACTGGGTCTAAGGAAAAAGAAAAATATATAAATAACCCTCTTGAGACGCTTCAGCTAACATTAACACTCGGTTTCAAGTTGTTCAGATTCTGTTTTTGCCATTTCATGAAATTTCCACGTATCTCGCATCAAATTGTTTCATACAAAATAATCAGCATTTAAAGAACACAATTTGAAGAGGAAATTTTCTTTCTTTAAATCACTTAGAACCCCCCCTTATCCATCTTTGAATGAATGGACTCTTTACCTGTTATAATGTCATATTAACTATTTTGCGCAATTTACTTACTTTTCCCTAAATTACAATTTTACTCTTTGGTCTGAATAATAGCAAATATTTTGCAAGAGAAGTCAAAAATTGGTAGGCTTAAACAGTCCTGTCAGTGGTTTCGCTAAAACTGTGTTATTGCTTTACTCTGCTACAAAATAAACGAACACATTTTGGTCTCTAATCTCCTATGCCTAATTTTTTTCTGACCTAAAAATCCCTCCCAGAACTCTAAGTACCCCATCAAGTCTATAATAACACTGACCTGAGCCAGTGAGAAAGGGTGCTCTGCCTGCATGTTCAATAGGATTGCCTTCCCTCACCACAAAGTTTCAGGCATTCTTTTTTGGAACTACTAAAGAAAATAAGCTGTCTTTGGCAGTCGATCACGGTCCACTCTAATTCGATGAATCCATTTTCTACAGGCTTTGCTTGGCAAGCCTCTTTCCACTGCCTGTGAACTGACTATGATTCTTTGCAAACCTCCTTTGCAATTCTACCCAAACACTTCCCTCTACATCCTAGAGTTATACGCTATTGAAAATATATTTTAAAGAAGACTTTTAGTGGAAATACCTAATTTTGGATCTTGTGTACACAAGCTTGTGTACTCATGATAAATCCATCTTAACCTCTGAAACCTATTATGCACATGGTGTTTACCGACAAAACTGTCTCAAGGTTAAGGGAAACCAGTGGTGTATTGCTGTGTAAGGCCCAGAGAAGTCGGGAAGTCTAGGCTGTGTCACCAACTCTAAAATGTGCCCCTCTTTATGGGTTTGGTTTGTCAAATAATCTGCCTATGGAGGCTCATGATACTGGTTGGACAGTGTTTCTGAACTCTATTTCTAAGAATCATATTCTATATATATTTGGAATTCTTAAGAGCAAATAGTTGGAGATTGGAGAAAGTGGGACCAACAAATCCTCCCAGCAGAGGCATTCAGTAGTTTTTTAAATATGCAGTCCTTCCTTATTAATCTTATTATTTTTAACCTGGGTAATTTTTTGACTCCCATTAACCCAATTAAATGCCAATGAGAACAATATGAATAAATCTAAAAACCATAAAGTAGTGTGAAATTATCCAGACACAACAAAGTACATATTTTATGGTTACATTTATATAAGTTCTAGAAAAGCAAAAACATAGAAAAGGCTATGGTGATAATTAGAACAGTGTTGCAAGGGATTAACTGGAGAGTGGCAAGAGGGAACTTTCTGGAATATGGAAAAATTCTATATCTTGATGGGGATAGTAGTTACCTGGGTACATACACTTGAAAAAACTCTATGGAACTATGCCTTCAAAATGTACCTTTTATTATAAGTATATTATACCTCAATAAAAACAAACAATGGGACTCAAAGAGACCTGTCAGTTTTGGAATTATTTTGAATCAGGAAGTTTTTAAGATGGCATCTTTACCTTCTTCCTGGACAGTGAAAAACAATTCTTCATTCTTTTATTCGTGCATCCACTTAACAAAGCTTCATTAAGCACAAATATATCCAGAGTTAACACAGTGGCAATGTGCTAGAGAAAACAATAGTTGGCAAAACAAAAACCACCCCTATTATGGAGCTTGGAATCTGTTGGGGAAAATAGACAATTAAACTGGACAACGAGTTATGGCTGCAGCATTGAGAGAAGGCCCATGTTTTAACCAAGGGCTTGCATCAAAACAGAATGAACTATTTTATCCTAAACCCCATGCCAGTCTGAGCTGAAAACGTTGGTATTCACTGAGTCTGTAAAATCTGTTAGAGTGATCAGACCAAAGCAAACCAGATAATGTTTTTTCTATTAAATCAAGCCTATATATTCTCTAAATCTACTGAATCAAAACATCACAATACTTTTCATGTCAAATTTCATTTGGACATTGAAGTTTTTTTAAACAAAATTTAGGTCTTCTACTCCCTAAGGCAGCTTATATACACAGCTGTCCACAAGGATAACATGGTGTTAAATGACCCTCTTTCCCATGAGCAGATCCCAGCTGGGAAGACAGGTGCATTTACTTCTGGTGACTCCGCTGCCAGTGAAGGATTTGCTGCCTCTCCCAACAACAAGCATTTTGCGTACTCATGATAAATCCAAGCTTGTGACAGGTGCAGTATTTGATATACAAACAAAGCATAACCATGAACAGAGCAGCATTCCTCTATAAAATGCTTTCAGGTAAATATATCTTCCTCACCATCAACCCCTCAAACACACTTTTAAATGAAGTCCTTCTGTGGGAAATCCAATTTTTAAAGCACATGAACATTTTCCTTGGCCTAACTGGTATCAAAAATCATTTTGTTCCTTTTTATGGCTTTCTAGTCCAAAATTCTTTCCAAAATGAGAGGAGAAATTTATAAGATTAAATAAATGAAAGATCATAATTAAAAAGCAAAAAAATAAAACACGAACCATATAATCAAATGATTGAATTTCCAAGCCTTCTAAGGAAGACTAGGCTACTATTTATTTTGTAAAACTGTCTAGAAGAAAACCAACATGATCTGTTAAAGATCGCTCTAAGAGGAAACATGCTAGAAACAGTGAGTAGTTAAAAAATTAGCTTTGGAATGAGCCGCTTACTTTAAACCAAGACCATAACGGATATTGAATGCCTTGTATTTAATTAACCAAACATCCACAACATTACCTCTTACTGTTCTCTACTGACCTTCCCAGTCTCTGACCAGACAACTTAGGGTGTGGGCTGCATTCAACTGGCAGGACAGAAAATGGCCACTAAACCCTAAAGTAACTGGGACTCTAAATAACTCTCTCTAGAGAGTTAATATGAGAACCATTCTATATACCCACAGAAAACATTGTCAGATTGCAATCCAAACTGTAGAATGACACTCTAATTACTTTCCTACTCTGGTCAGTGATAAATTCAGAAATCCTCTATTGCTGTTTAGGAATTATGGTTCCTGTTTGTGTAGGTTTAACATATTTAATATTTAAGAAATGTTTATATTTTGACCAAGTAATACATTTTTTAAAATCCCATGTTTTATTTTTATTTTAACCAAATAGTTGATGATTAGAATAGTTAACACAATGGAACAATTTCCTAGCATTTTAATATAATCTTTCCTTCCACTTCTCCAATTTTTACTCTTCCAACCCCATTTTAGATAGTTTTGGTTTCAATTCTTTCCTTCTGCCAATGTGAATATCAGCTCCCTGTGCTTTTAGTTTCTTAGTCATCTTTTGATATTTACTGGTATTTTAAGGAATACTTTAAGGAAATATGTGATATTGAATTTGTGAGATTTGAAGAACCCTGGCACATAAGTACTGGCACATAAGACTTCCTCAATGTCAATCCATTGGATACATTATTTTGGTGCAAAATTCTAGAAGATTTTTAATGGTTTTTACATTGTTACAGCTTTCTTCCCCACTAACTCTCAAAGATGTCACATCATGACATTTAGTCTGAAGGCTTGCATCCAATAATAAGATAAGCTCTCTCCATTGGTCCTTAGAGCAAATTTTAAGCAGCTCCAAACTTGTTAAATCTATTAAACACTAAAATCTATCTAACATCACTGAAACAGTTTGAAAGTGGAACTAAAATCTTTGGAACTAGTGACTTAGGACTGAATTTTTCCACAGGTTTAATTTTAGGAATGAGCTTTACTGCATATGCACACGTTAGATAAGTTCAAAGTATATATTTAGCTTCTAGCATGTGCCAGTCACTGTGCAAGGCACTACAGAAACATGAATAAAACATAGCCCTCCCTCTAAACTAACTCATAGCTAAGACAATGAAGGTAAGGAGAAAAAAACACATAAAAAGATAATTTAATGCCATTTGGCAAGTGCTGTGACAAATGTGTGACACTGGACTATGAAAAAAATGTAGGTTGGACACTCAATTTCCCAGATGAGGTGGGAAGCACTAGGATGGGTTCCACAAATATTGATTGAGTGTCTAACTTAGGGACAATAACGTGTCACCTAAACCAGTCCTTAAGATACTGTCCTGATTATTAGCTGCATATCTCATTAGACACATACACACTTGGTTTTGCCCTGTTTTTCAATCAATAATCTTTTCTTTAATATTTTCGTTAATATTTACCATGTGGCTACTTCAGGCAGAATTTTCTCACCCAGAAAATGCAAGTACCTATAGGGTTATTGTGATATTTAATGAAATAATATTTGTAAAATATTTAGTGCAATACCTGGTATGTAGTAATTGCCATACTTATTGAAGATTTGGCTTGTCAATCTAGCTGTCTGCCCTTGGGCAAAATTTTCATGCATAAAAGATATGGGATTTGTTATCACAGTTCTTCTTTCCTCAGAAGACATTCAACTTGTCCAAATAAGTTGTTTGGTGTCTATATCTGAGGGGAGAGCTACATATTCCTCTAACACTAAAGTCTCATATGGAGCCATTTGTGGCTAGAGATCAGTTCTCAGGGGAGATAGCTGAGCCGAGGAGGTCTTCAAGGTTTCCAGATATCCATGGATAGGTTCTATGGGGTCTGTATATTCCTCTTAAATATAATGGATAGACAAATTGTGAAAGGCTTTGAAATGGACCAAAAGAAGACTGGATTCTTCAGTGAAAAGGAAGCATTATCTAGCACACACTTCTGAGTTATTTGATTCTATGGAGGGCAATTTGAGCTGTTTTGCAAAGCTGTACATTATAGATAACTGATAGCAGTTAAAAGGATACTTATCCAAAGACGCACAAATTCCTTCTGGT